TCATCATGTCAATATAGTATATTTACCTATGAGAAACCTACTTATCCTGATTACAGAATACATCCCTTCATGTCAGTTTTAACATTTCAAACCTGAATTTCGTAGCCTTTCAGGTATTTTCCTGTGCCTAAAAACTGCAGGCTGAATCTGACTATGATTTCGTACTTGGTAAATATATGAAGAAACTTACCAAATAAGATAACATTTGATAGAAAATTATGTCTACCACAAACATTTGTCTTGAATGACTTATTACATAATCTCCCAAGTTTTGTTCTCAGAAAATCCTCCTAATGTTACATCATAATCCTACCCAAAGGTCAACATAACTCAATGGCTTCACTGCCCTACAATACTGTAGTGTCACACATATATAGGTACATACTGTATATACTCATCAATTCGTCTACAGCAACTTCATTTTTCAGTTAATGTCTTTACTTTTGTTCAGATATTTCACTAAGAAATGTAAGACTGAGTGGTATGTTAGCTATATTAGTCATCTCTAAAATTCCTTCAGTTTATCACTTTTTCTTTCATCAATTGCCTACATTTTTTCTTCCTTTTTTTTTTACAAAATGCTGAAGAGCACGAATCTAAATTCAAAATAACATTATTTCTATCTGCATTATTCCTGCTAGTCTTACAACCCAATTCTTTATTTATCTTTCTTTCCTCTTTCTTCTATTTCCTTCGGTTTCAACTGGGAAAGAAGATGAAGCAATCAAAATCATGTAGAACTAGTACTCATAGCATGACTACATGCAAGTTCACACTAAAGAGCTCTAACAAATGATCAAAAATATGACATTTCAAATCTTATGAACACAAACAAGAGAAGTAATTCAAGCTGCCATGCCCATAAGACTGGCAACATAACTTCATGCAGAAAAGGGTTATCAACCTCTAATTTCTTATGATAATAACATATATATATTCAATAGATCAGTCTTTGTACAATAACTAACATGACAAAAACTTATCTATACAGACTATTCTATCAGCAACAGTTGTATATCAATCATTCACTTCCGGTCCATTTGCTAATACTAAAAAGAAACACTGTCTCTAATCACTATTACAGCAAACATGAGTTAATCCCAAGGCCTATACACCATGAAATAAAAAAGAAAAATCAAAAGTAACATTACATGGCAATACACCAACATATCACTAATATGGTAATAAACCTGCATCACATCACCTGTCCTACCAGTAATTAGCACAGTCAGTATCACTACCATTTTGCATAATATTTTGATCAGCTGCCTTAATGGTTTACAAAACTTTGTGAGTTGATATGCACTTTTGGTGCAAGTTTCAATAAATATATACACTCACTCCAATTATATCCCAATCAAGGAGATTTGATATGAAGTACTCTTCTACTCTAGATGTTCATGAGAGACAGATGACAGACAGACAAACATGCATACACTATGCTATCTACCCACCCAAAACCACAGCTACACATCTACATATACACTCACTCCCACTCTCACACTCACACTCACTCTTATTCTTACACTCACTCATTTTCACACTCTCACCCTAACTCTCTCTCCTTCACTCACTCACTCACTCATTCTCAGACTCACTCTCTCACTCATACACTCCCTCTCACCAACATATTAATTCAGGTGTTATAAACTACAACTAATTCTACCAAGACATTTTCAACTTTATCTAGACTTTTTTTTCTACCTCTTATAAATAACACTTATAATACATACTAATGCAAAGCAAAATAATCTTATCTCACCTGCAACTGATTAGTTACTTGAAAATACAGTTCATTTGGTAACTCAATCTTCCCTGATTCATATTACTATACTTAGATTTCACCTAATATCAACCACACAATATTACTTGACACAATAAAGTTTGGGTGCATATCTAAATATATAATAATGATCATCAAATATTCAAGAATGCTTATTTACCAAGGCCCCCATGCCAACGGTCCACAGGTCAAGGCCAATAAATATTTACCACTTGTTCCTTCTTTAATGACTATCCCCATATGGCATTAGAGTATCCAGCATAAACCACATCAAGTTTCAAATACATTTCGATGGAACTCAAGGGATTCTTCCTTTAAAAAATGTTAAATTTGGCAATTGCTAGTTTGAATACGCCAGGATAAAATTACCACCTCATACATTACAAATAACATTTATTGTTTATAGTGATTCAAACCTTCGACTTAGTTTTCTACAACCTTGTATCTATTTCCTAAGATTCTGCAATTATATAGAATTTTAGAGGAAATTATAAAAGAAAATAATGAGAAAAGGATACATGTACGATTACCCTTCCAGTCCCTTTGCTAAAATCCTTAATATTCCAATAATTTTCACACTGTACGAACCCTTAATGTTCCAAGAAGTTTCACATTCTACAAACCCTTAATATTCCAACAATGTTCACACTGTACGAAAGGGTTAAGGAGTAGGGACATGGAAACACCACATTTCTCAAAAGGGTTACACACACACACACACACACACACACACACACACACACACACACACACACACACACACACACACACACACACACACGCACACACACACACACACACACACACACACACACACACGCACACACACAACACACACACGCAAACACACACGCACACACACACACACATGCGCACACACACGCACACACACACGCCACACACACGCACGCACACACACACACACATATATATATACATATACATATACATATACACATACACATATGCATATATTATCATTATCATTATTAATATCATAATTATGGTAAGCCATATAAAGAGCCACACTGAGAAATTTGAGAATTATACCACCAAAGGTGTTAGTGCAGGTCAAAACACAGCTGAGTAAGATAGAGAAGGTAGAAAATCATCAGCCATCTACATAGTAAAAAGATATTCATTGATCTTTTCAACTTGTCAAGAGTTGCAAAGGTTACAATCTCTGAAGGCAATCTATTCCAAAGCCTACACATAGCATATATATGAATATATACATAAACAAACATGACAATAGCTACAATGAAAATACTATTCATCATTACCCTCTGAGGCTCGTGATGTAATGGCCTTTTAATCTTTACAGTATGGACACAGTATGGAAGACTGAGAGTTGCAGTCACTGGTACAAGAAATCATCTGTTGACATGAATAGTAACACCACAAATAAAGAGTTTCAGGTCTGTCTTGCCATGCATACCAAGATGAAGACAATGCTTCACAAAAATTTATATTGCTAAATAAATTTTGTGGCGTGACGTTGAAGACTGTGTGTCTGGTGAGTGCATCCATATTATAAGGAATTGCCTAATGCCAAACATTCATGGTATCTTACCAAAATCAAGAAACAGAAAATGTGTGGTTTTATCATCTTTACTATTACTATTACTTAAACTATTACTATCATTATTGCCATCACCATTACTATTACTATTATTGTTATCATTATTATCATCATTATATAAAAGAATGATATCATAATTCTTGTATCAATGGATTGCGAATGATGCTTAATATGCATTCCAAATAATTTAACATATAAAATCCATCTATAACACTATCATTAGGGTTAATTAAGCAATCTCTATGCCTTAAACATCTGTTGGTGATATGGCAAAGGCCAACAAGCCACCATACAGTCTGAGCAGAAATGTTAAGTCATGGGGTCTAATAAAGTAATTTTCACACAAGCTGATTCATACCTATAAAAAGGATGGTTATACTACAGGAGAGAATAACCAAAAGGATCTCTAGTTACAAAATTTTATACTACATTGCCTACTGGTTAAAGTGGCTCTTGGGCAATGCTGTAACTCGGTTCCCCATTAGTTGCACACCTGCCTTCAATGTGGGAAGTTATACTTGATGAACCCATACGATTCCAATTTTTTTTTTCTCTCTCTACTAACTCACTTTAGCTTCTAACTCATAACTTCGGATGGCCAGGAGGACCACAATGGAAATTCTTCACTGATTCATTTTCTATGAGGCTAGCAGACTTTTTGATGAGGAAGAGTAATGTCACAATACATTTGTAATGTCATGATTCAATGTCAATAAAAAAAAATAATAATAATAGTTCTACTCATGACTTACCCTTGCACACACAGTATATATATATTCTGGCTAGACATAACTTTATGACTTCCCTAAGGAGCCAATGAAATCTCTATCATAATGGCCATCAACATAGTTCTACTTGGTTTCCGCTACTAAAACTATTAAAAAGACACACCTAACATCATACATCATCTTTCAACACCAAATTTATTCCTGCCTGCAAACCCAAATGGCTTACAAACACTTCCCTTTCCACTCTGACTCCTATTATCCT